ACACCGCCCCCCCCCCCCCCCCCGAACCCAACCCCCCTTCCTTCCCCTCCCCTCCCCTCCCCTCCCATCCCATCCCCCAGACTAGAGCCAGGCACATCCTGCAGGGTGGGAGGAACCCAGAGCTCAGGCTCCAGGCCAAGCTGGGAAGTCTACACTACAATAAAACAGTACTGCAACCCGAACCCTACGAGCCCACATCAGCTGGCTTTTCATTGCAGTTTAAACATACCCCGAGACAGCACCTATTGTTCTTGTGGCCGATCAATTTATAGACAAGGACAATACATACATACTCCTTCTGGTGGCTCTTACTGCAGTGAGACAGATAAGACAACAACATGATCTGCAGTGCCAGCAGTAAGTAGACAGCCTCCAGCTTACAACTCTTTCACATCAGAAGGACCTTTATAAGTTAAGGCTAAATTACTTGCCCAAGATCATACAGGAAGTACATGGTAAAGCCAGGAATAGAATCCATATCTCCTAAACAAGACCATTCTTCCTTCCTTCTGCCTGATTAAAGCCCCTGCTATAAGTTCCAGAGTGTGAAATTCTAAAAAAAACCAATATGGATATTTTTACTCCTAACCTCCCATACTGACTTTAAGAGTCACTGAAGACCAGCTTAAAGTGGCTTTTGTAATCTTTCAGCAACCTAGTTAATAAATGTCTACCTTTATTTTACACAGTTTTAGTAAAAATTGTTTTTTGCAGAAAGTAGTTTAATTTCTGTCACTAAAAAAGCATGTCTGGACTCTATAGAAGCTCTACATGCACAACTCCATTTACTTGATTGCGACCTGAAAACTTGGTAAGCAAAATGGCTACATAATCTGCAATTTTCTGTTGCTGACATTCACCAGCAACACAAAACTTAGTTTGTCTCTCAAAAAGAAAACCAAGAAATATTCTTACACCTGTCTTCCTCATTGTATGAAGGCACAACAACAGAAAGCTCCTTTGTAGGGGGGTCATGTATGCTTGGTATAGATTCCTTCTTCCCTTCAGCATTTACAAAGAACTTCTCTTCTTCATGTCGATGAAGATTTGGCATTTTTGTGGCAGTTATATGGGCAACAATAGTAATCTGTGAAAAAACAGAAATGGTATTTATGACAATGTTGCATTAAGCAAATGCTATATTCATTTTTTGCATAACCACATTTGGTTAGGTGTTCAACTATTCTAATTTACTGAACAAAGGATGGTCAATCATATCTGTGGTCTACATTCGAGTAATTTAAAGTCATTCCTATTACACCATCAGGGTCATCCCAAGGAGTCACAGGTTCTGGGGAAACCCTCACCCCATTTGTGCAGCCCAAGGTAAGCCCCATCCTACAAGCCCTGCTTCTTCCCTTCCCAAGCCCCATAATCTCCCAGGTACCTCCTGTCCATAGGATGGATGGAGGAGCCGCAGGGCCCTCTCCAAAGCACAGGGCCTTGGACGGCTGCCCCAGCTCACCCTATGGATAGGATGGCTCTAACAACCATGGTAAAGTGGGTCCATTGAGGAGTGCTCTTTTATCTGCTGCACAGATCAAAAAGGAACTTTACCGGTTATGATTTATAGTCTTTATATGGCATTTAGTGGTTCCATTTTATCTACACAGGATATGGCTCCAGGTTCCCAGCAAGTTGCAAATGAAATTTTCAACTAGAAAAGGCCACCATAAATTTGACCCAGTGAACATTTTCTAGACCCTGGTGCACAACAGTTCTAAATCTTGTAGCTATACCCACTGCATTAGTTGATAATTAACTAAAAATCTAGAGCATAGCAAGCATTAGCAGCAACATCTATAATATTAAGCAAGTCCATACAAGAAGCAAATCTTATCACATATAAAACTGATATTAAATAATGCAATTAAGTAACAACTTTTGTTTTCCATTAAAAATACCATACACACACACATATAACTCACATAACACTACCACTACGAGCAGACTAACTAGAAAGAAATACTGCTGAATTAAGAGATAGGCCACCATAATTTGCAGTAATCATAAACTTCAGTAACTGTGGAATTACGGATGTAAGTGATTAATCGACTATCCGATAAGCAAAAGTTAGTGAATAGTCGACACACTAGTTGACTAGTCGCTTCCGCCCCCTTGCTGCCTCTTTCATAGCAGGGAGTCCTTTGGGGGCTCTTGTGCATTTCAAAGGTGGAACATGGACGTTCTTATCGACTAACCGAATAGTCGATGGAAATCCCATCAACTATTCGATTAATTAATTAATCAAAATTTAACATCCCTATGGATGTTATCATTTAACATCTCTGTGGAATGAAATCTTATGACTTACAAAAGTAAGTGAAGAAGGAAAGAGGAGAAAAATGTATTAAATATATAGGTAATATGTTTGCATGTCATATATCCTACTTCTGAGTCTCCAGAGTGTCTGAAATCTCATGTCAATTAGACACTTCGAAATTGCAAATGAAGCCAGGATTTGAATTTCCTGCACTACATTTGCATAATTGTGTCATGGTGCTCTTTTGAAAAAGCGCTATTTCAAAAGTGAAACTGCAGTCTAGACACGGTAATTTCGAAAATAGAAGCTTTTTTTGAAAGATCCTGTTGAAAGACAGATGTAGTCTACAAAAGCGACGAGGAGTCCTGTGGCACCTTATAGACTAACTGAAGTGTAGGAGCATAAGCTTTCGTGGGCAAAGACCCACTTCGTCAGATGCATGTAATCTAGACACCCCCTCATTTTCATCTTCTTGACTGTAATGAATTTGGGGCAGGGACTGTTTACATATATGTCATATAACAACACACACACACACTGCCTGCACTTACTAATGTGTCCTGCTGGCTTCTCTAACACAGCTACCAAATTCTTTGAACAAAAGACAGTATTTAAATGAATGTATGGTTCAATTTTTCTTAAAATTGGAAAAGTGTAGTTTTATCCTCAAACTAAATGCTACAATGATTACAGGTAACATAGAGGAGAGCAGCAAAAATGATATAAAACCTTAGAAATCCTGGCCTACAAGTACAGATAACAAAAAAACCTGGGCTTGCTTAGTCTTTAAAAAAACGACTGAGGGGCAACCTGATAACAATTTTCAAATACGCTAAGGGCTGTAAGAAAAGGGACAACTGTTCTGCACATCCTGTGAAGGACAAAAAGTAGTGGCCTGCAGCAAAGGAGAACTGCTTGATATTAAGAGAAATGGTTTCCCAGGCAGGCTGTGGAATCCCCCCCACCTTGGGCCATTATTAAGAGCGTGCTGGACACTCGACCTGCCCGTCAGGGACAGTCGAGGGGTTACACGGTCTAGCTCCGGGGAGAAGGGCTGGGCTTTGTGAGATTCCTTCCAGCCCCACACTGCAGCGCCTGCAGCAAAGGAGAACTGCTTGATATTAAGAGAAATGGTTTCCCAGGCAGGCTGTGGAATCCCCCCCACCTTGGGCCATTATTAAGAGCGTGCTGGACACTCGACCTGCCCGTCAGGGACAGTCGAGGGGTTACACGGTCTAGCTCCGGGGAGAAGGGCTGGGCTTTGTGAGATTCCTTCCAGCCCCACACTGCAGCGGGTCTAAAGCTGCGACCGCCCATCCGGGCCGGGCCGACCCTGGCGCC